TGACGAAGACAGGTAATTCGCCGTTACACTTGGCCGTGACCCGCGTTGATGAAGATACTGTCCGAGTGCTGCTGAGAAACGGAGCTGATCCAAACTTGGCCAACAAGGACGGATTGACACCTCTGCACTTTATTTGCAACACAGACGAAGATGAAATATTCGCGGAGCTGTTTTTCAAGATTAGCGACCAAGTCGGTCGGCCAGTGCAGGTCGATGCACGGGACAAGTTGGGCCGTACACCGCTGCAACTAGCTGTGTCGACTTTCTTACCAAGAGTGATCGATGTACTCTTGGATCGTGGTGCTGACGTGACGAGCTTCGTTTATCCCAATGAGAGCTACTTTGGCGTGAGCTGGATCATAGAAGAAGATCGTTGCGATGATTTTATAATTCGTCTAGCGTTCGATGCTCTGGCCATTCTTGAACGTCTGGAAAAAAGAGGATACGAACTGGATCAAGGCGGCGCCCTGACGATCATGAAATATTTTGCCAAGTACGGAATGTTCAAGATGTCAGCTGATCTTGACCGATGTTGGTACGACGACGAGCAATTCGCGATACAAGCGAAAAAGCTCGAGGTGAGTCCGAGCCTGTCGTTCTACGACTTGGTTCGATTACGTCCCGAGAAGGCCAATAAACTATTTACACGTGAATTTGATCACTACTACGATAATTTCGTGAATGAGGAGGGTTATTGGAAGAGCCTCTCCAAAGAGTGCAGGGAGGCTTTCGATGCGCACATGGGCGAGGTTATAATGAGAGCATTTTGTCGACGATTGGCATTGAGATCATTCTTAGAGATGACACATTACCAATTACCTATTCTTTGCTGTGAAATTATCATTGAAAAACTAATGAACAAAGATTTATATTGTATTTTTTTGGCGGCTGCAGGCCAAAGCTTGTGATGGCCATATGCATGTTAGCAATATTTCTTGATCTTTTGTAATTAATACTTTGTAATTAATTAATACTGCACACTTTCTATATCATTTAAATAAATAAATTCAAAAAATTTTGAATTTAATAATTTGTTTCGATTTTTTTACATTTTAATTTCAATTTAGTTCTAAATCTTAATTGAAAAAAATGATAGTTATGATATAACGAGGCCTACGACTGTATTGTTATGTATGAACAATAACTAAAAATGTAGACACATGTAATATAATAAACAACGTAATATACCTGTGTTGTATCGTGAGTTAATAAGAATAAAAAAAATTTGTCACTTGAGATTTTCCAAAAGAGAAATTAGAGGCAGGTCAAATATGTGTTTCATTAATAATACATAATGTTGTTATGGGCCAATGTAAAATGACAAAAAACTCTTCCGAGGTGTTCCTCCGAAAATTCGCTGTTTTCGAAAAAATTTTCATTCATTTTAACTTTCATTGACAGCTTTTTTATCAAGAGAAATCTTCTTTATTATTTTTATACAACATTTTTTCAATCCTAATGTGTTCTCATTTTGACATGAGCTGAAGCAGACCTTTTACTTTCGGCTGCCTGCACGCTGATCGTTTCCCTCGATGCTGGATTTTGTACTCGCTCAGGGCTTCCATATCAAGAAGCGCGTAACGAGCTCCAAATTATATGTGATTCGGCATTAGAATATACATGAGAATTTTGATATAACATTTTTGTTAGCGCTGTAACGTAACACGATCCTTTTTAAGAATGAAAATAACTTATTTGACATTCATAAGTCATTTCTTTGAAACTCGTATTAATTTTCTCTAAGACCCTCCTATTGTGAAGAGATACAGCTATTTGCATACGCAGGCTGCAGCTCGAACCGCTTCTATATCTATACGAGAGCGAGAAAATTCACTGACAGCTGACGCAAGAATAGTAAGTGCAAAGACTTGACTGGTAGGACTATACCGAGATATTTCGTTCGCAATAGATGCATTTGCTGCAACAAGATCGCTTGAGGAATCAGCCAACTCATATTTTTTAGTCAACAAACATTTACGATTATTAATTGTCGGTCACTTATTTATTTGAAATACGATCTTATTATAACAACAACCGATGCATTTTTAGGGAAACAAGGGGTCGCAAGCATCGTATTTGGTTCATTTACTACATTTATAATGATATATAACTTAATTACATTATGGTTCGTGATGTAAGAAAGGAATAAAAGAAAAAATTTAATTCTTGTGTCAGCACCAACTTATATTCATACAGACCTATATTTGAATGCTGTGTTTTCTTATTATATTATATTGGGGGCTACGAGATCAAGCATCAATCAACACGTTCAAAATTTGTTTTGAATTGTGCCGCGATGTCTACATGTGCTAACAAGCGATCATAAAACTAATCCATCTTTTTTGTGCATCTTAATTTTAGAAGCGTTATGGACGTTTTCATGTGCACGTAAGATACTCATAGGTCAACATAAAAATCTGTAAAAGTGCAAACTTTGTCGAGGACGCACGAAACTAGATGCAATATAGCGAGGCGTACTCTTTAATGTACTGTTAACAATAACCTAATGTTTACATAGCATCGTAAGGTCATTCAACTCTGATTCCTGGAAGTACAGGCTCATGGAACCCAGCCACAACTAGAGTCATCAACTATTTTCCCGACACAGTAATTCGTACATCGTGTTAAAATCATTGCTTCTACCTATTATTGTATTGTACATGCTTTGAACGACTCAATTAATACGAGTTGAATCTTGCTCTCTGATACAGAGCAGTTTCCTAAATTTTAGCCTATATATAATATATCACAGCATGGGATCTTCGGGAATTTTTTACGCATCGCGCAGCAACATGAAACCGAGTTGCTCGATTCACGCTTTACATATTGAGAAGCTCACAGTTCTATGAATTTCATACCCCACCTACCTAGTTTGATGTGAGCTGATGGCTGTTACACTGCGTGCGTTGCGTTTGCATAACGCAAATCGTAAAAAGCAGTGAGTTCGATGCTCATCAGATGAATTGCATACATAGTCCTGTAGTAACAACCCAAAAGGCGTTGATGTAAATAATGGAAAGAGTTATTTCTCATAGTTTCGTGCTTAACGTTTTAAAATGACACGGCAGACAAAGAAATGGATTACTGTATGTATATCGTCGAGTTAATGGAGATTGCAACGTAAGGCAACGAAAGCATCATACATGACAAAGAACGTATCGTACACTAACATTCACACCAGCGGCAGGCGCTGCTAGCAAACTTCTAACTGCTTTGATTCCAATGTATACAAGGTCACGACTCACGGGAGTCTGCCGCAGTCCTGCACAGATGTCGAAATTCTTTATGATTCATGAAACACGCAGATACGACGCAGCACCGCACAGGTTGGTGTCGATCGGACGTGCAGCAGAAGCCATGAAAGGCCACAGACGCAGATTCCGCAGTCCGAACGCTGTATAGTGTTCAGAAGTAGCGCCATCTGTTTGTTGTCTCTCTCTCGCTCACTTGCCAACGGCCGAATCGACGCGAAAAGTCCGCAACGACCGCAATCGCACAACCAACCCCCGTCGTCACTATAGTCACAGATTCGCATGGCCGAGAGGCTGCAAATGATCCGTGTGGCGGCATCAATCCACCGGCAGTGACGTGATCGCCATCGTCTATCCCTACTTCTCTCTCTATCTCTCTCTCCTTCTAAATCGCCACATAGTAGCCGTTGCAATTTGCGGAGCGCAAAAGTATCGAGAGATTCGATGACGAGTTGAGCAGTTCGTACTTGGATCATTGAGGGATCGACTCTGTACTGGAAAGGTTCTGCTGAGGCTCCTATGGTTGCAGCATCTAAGCAGAGTTGAAATATAGATACGAAAATGCAGTCACTCGGTAAGTTTTTTCTGATTTTTGCTTAATTTCTGCACGCTTTTTATCCCATTTTTGCAAAGTCTATCTCGTCGCAAGCCACGTTAAGGCTGTTTGTTATGTTGCACTCTCTCGATGCTCTTCGAAATTTGAGACATCGACTGCACTTTTGTTGTCGCGAAATTACTGATGTGCACACTGCACTGGCTTCTGAAACATTCGCCAGCGCATTATATTCTGCCAATAATTGAAATTAATGACTGCGTCAATGGCGGTTTTCGTTTATTTGCCCCAAGAGAGTACCGTCTCTTCGTAGAGGCGCTTCGTGCCTCATGAATGTATGAGGCGTTGACGGTTTGTGTATCATTTAACCCTTTTGTTGTGTATACGCGAGCCATGTAATTTTTCCTTATGCTCCTTATTTTTATAATACTATTAGAGTGTGAAAAATGTCGTGTTTGAGTCTGCACATTGTTTATAGCAACCGCGTTGGCATCCTAACAGTTTTCCATCGGAGCGCAGGCAAAGATCCATTCCCTTTTGCTGCGGCCCCAATTTTTCGTGCGCATGTAGTCGAATATGGCGGCGATCGACCGATTAACGGATCTTGGATGTTGGCCATATTTGAATATCATTGAGTGATTATTGTGACTTTGGCAATGTGCTTTATCAACTCCTATTCGATAATCAATTGAAATTTCGTTATAAGTTGATGTAAATGCACTCGCTCACCTAAATAATATTTGTTAATGTTTGTTATTTTTAATAAAATGTTATTACTTACAATCTAAATTATAACTCATCAAGTAAAAAATATGTAAACTTAAATAAATACTCTAATTTAATGCACATTATAAATATCACTTAGTAAACTATAACTGTAAAATTAGGAAAAAACCGAGTCAAAAGGGAGCCAAAAAGCGAGCCCATTGAAGACAGCGTTATGAGGTACAAAAATTAATTGCTTGACAAATAGAATTTATTTCTTTATACTTTTAATAACTATTATGGTTTTAGCTTAAATTTTGTTAATTGTAACACTAATAGCCATTCTACCTTCAATATGGATGTATCGACCTCGGAAGAAATGAAACCTTGCCCCGTGTTTCAAGTAAATACCTTAATTCTACATATTTATGAAGGATTTCTGTTTATTATAATAAATGATGATGACGATTTTGACCTAGGTTGATGGTACGATGGATTTTGACCCAAATGAATTGGCTAACATTGACGAATCATTTGATAATGATGAAGAACCTGTTGATTTAGTAAGAGATATTGTCAATATGGATATTCCTGATTCAGAGGTCTGTTTGAACAAGTTTTAAATGTTTTTACATGAAAATATAAATTATCTAAAAGTCAAAATTTTTCTAAAAAACAAAAAATTTAAAAGGGTATGTGATGTTTACTTTTTGAATTACATTTATGAATTCCAGGATACTGAATCAACAATCACAGATCAATCATCGGAAATGGCTAGTAACTCTAATGACAAGCCTTCAACATCTAATACTCAACATGTCGATAAGGATGATCCCCGATCCAAACTGCATTATGTGAAATATCTCAATAGAGAAGGAAAAACTTTCAAAGTTTGGGAGTGTGGAATTTGTAATTTTAAAATTCACTCATTTGATATAAATTTAGAGAAATAATTTTTTTTAATGTTTTTCTTAAAAAAATTTTCGACTAAATTGATCATTTTATTTTATTATTTTTCAAAATTAATTGATATTTTGTGTATATTGTAGGTTCCAAGGAATTTCGTCATCAATATACATTAATGCGTCACTTGCCTACACATACTGATGAACGAAATTTCAAATGTGATGCATGTGGTAAAGCTTTTCGTCAATTATCAACTTTGAGTCAACATAAAGCTATTCATAGTGATGCACGCCCATATGTTTGTGAATATTGCTCAAAAACATTCAATAGGTATTTTCAATAACATAGTGTTAATGAACAAACTTCTTAATTTGTACAACAATAATTTTTTGTCTAATAATTATAATTTTCCAGAGTTTCTACACTCATATCTCATAGGAAGACGCATTCTGAGCAGAAACCACATAAATGTTATATTTGCAATAAAGGTTTCCATCAAAAAGGTAAGATTAAACATGTTTATCTATAATTATTACATAAATTAATTCAAACCTTTACAATTGCTTTGGACTAGTAAGCTGGTAAATGATTAAAGTCAGGTAAACCTTCATTATATCTGATTGATTAAGTAGTTTGCTATTTTGGTCCTTGACCATTTTTAGATTTCTTGTTTATAATTATTATGTCTAAGGAATAAGTTCACATTTTTGGAAACGATTTTCTTTCAGATTGAATGAGCACTTGTCTTAATTTTTGTTTTATTTGCATACCTATTTTTCAATTTTATTTCTTAATTAAGTTATTTATATTCATATTTCTTAGGTAATCTGCGAAACCATATATTTACTCACACAAACGAGCGTCCTTACAAGTGTGATATTTGTAACAAAGGGTTTAATCAAATGTCCAACCTAGTTTGTCACAAGGCCAAAGCTCATGCGCATTCTGAAAAAATGCAATATTCATGTAATATCTGTTCTCAAGAATTTTCAAGACGATTTTCTCTTCGTGCCCATGAAGAATTTGAACATGGCATCAAATATCGACACTCAAATTCCACTACGAGCATCAAGGATCCTAAGAGCACTGAAAGGTTTAATAATTTCTTTAAAATTCTAAACAATTCTGTAAAAAAATTTCTTATTTATAATCTTTACAGTACCAAAAATCTGTATGAGGTTTCTTCAGCAGAAGATGATAGATCAAATTCTTATTCAGATTCTTTGGATAAAGAATTGCCTATGGTAATTTGGACCCATATCATATTAGCATTATTACACTTATATTACATACTGTTCTTAATGATTATTTTCATGCTGATAATTAGACTGAATTTATGGAAAACATCCTCATTGATCGAATCGAAACCAAGGCAATGGAAGTAGCTTTGTTACAAGAGCAAACAGCCTTTGCACTATTTAAACCAGCGAAAGGCATTCCTGTTCTTGTGAAAGTCTCTCCTAGTGGAAGCATGAATCATGTATGTATCCAGTTTTTTCATATAACAATTTTATCAAATCCATGTTAATGCATTTAAATTATTATAAAATTATTTTTAACATTAGCTGCTTACTCCTGCAACTGCTGATGATTTAAAAATGTCTGGAAAAATGGATGAATCTACGCAGTTTGTGGATCATGGTCAAAAATCCGTTCAAATCAAAGTTCCTGTTGTTGCTACTGTGACAGAAAAAGTCAATGATGATGGAAGAACAACTTTCATTATTGAACCACCAGGACCTGATCAAGAACAAGGTAATATTTCATAAAACTTTGAAATTTCAATTTAAGTAATCCATGATCATCTCAATCAAAACATCCAATTCCTCTATCCAGATTTCCCAATTTCCGATAAAAAGTTAAAATTTAATCTGAATTTTGCACTGTCATTAATGATTTTTTTATTGTTGTAGTTTATTCTATTCAAAACTTGAGAGAAAAGCAGAGCTGCAGTCGACGGTGTAACCATCGTATTTTTGTACACTTATTCCCTTTTCCTCTTCCCCTAGATAACCTTATAACACCGATCGGCTCTGTCTCGGAATATCCGCTGCATACAGAGGAAGATTTCTCTCTATTAGAAGAACTCATTAGCAATGAACAGGCTGCAGAAAAAGTAACTGGGGCCACACCAGTCGATCAAGCTACCGATGGGGAATTACTTGAATTTGCAGCAAACGAGGGTATACAGTTTGTACGCGCAACCGAAGATGGTCATTATGAAGTCATGACCGATGGCGAAGCTCGTGATCTTATGACTCAGAATTCACATGATTTTGAAATACTTGGTACTGAAAGAACCGGTTCTGTGGATGCAGCTGTCGAAGCTAATCAGAATATAAAAAACGTTCATGAACAGCCTCTTATTCAACCTGAAATAATAATACCTGATCAAGCTGACATTATGGTACTAGATCCTAATAATGACCAAAAAGCTTTGACGCTAGGAGATATTGAAATTCTTGAAGATAAGGATCTAAAACAACTATTGGGGACGAAATACTCTCAAGAACAGTTTGCCACCAATTCAAATTCATTGGCATTATTGTCTCAAGTCAAGTTGAATGAAATTCTTGCAATGAAACCTATTGATGAAAATTCTAATAATTCCTTCGTAGACGAAAGTAAGTTAACAATTTACAAATTATTAAAATAGTTAATTCTAATTGTATAAATCACTTGTGTTGTAGATATGAATTCTATTATAGTTCCAAATGAAATGTCCAGTATTCTGAACGATCCAAATGAACTAATAGCAATAGCTCCCACTGCCATTCACAATAAAAATTTTCAACTTCTTGAGCAGCCATTGGTGAATAGTGCAATGTTGCAACCATCTGTATCTGATATTTTTGACAAACCAATATTAAGGGCGACAGAATATCCAGTAATACCTGAATATGATTCGAGAATGAAAATGTTTGATGTTGAACATGATTCAGAAGCTATGTGCCTTCCTGTTCACGAATCAAATGGTAAAATATTACCAAACATTTATGATGGAGTTGCTGATCATTGTCTGCAAGAGTCAAGTATAAACTGTCAGGCTGAAAACTCGCTCTTCATGGAAAGAAACTCAATGTGTAAGGTAGATAACTATCAACCTCAAGTCAGAGATTATAAAATGGTTAATCCATATGGGCAGTTCCTTCAGCACTCAATGTATGAACCTAATTATTCACTTCCTTGTTCTTTCGAAACTTTACCTTACAACATACCAGTTAATGATTTTGATAGTATTAACAAAAAAATGCAATATTTTGACAAAAGTTATGAAGAACAATTTTTCCCAGTTAATGGTTTCGAAAATCACAATAATAACGAACAGGTAAATGTAAATTCAACTAAAACTATTTTATTAAAAAAATATATAAATGAATAAAAGAATCATTATCATGAATCTCTGCCAATATTATACTTTTTAAACTACACAAAAAATTATTCTGTTTCAGAATTTGAGTCAAGTTTTTATGAAAGGATCATTCGAACACGATGGCATTGAAATGAATGTCATGTCGAACATTGAAAATTATTATGACGATGGACAAGATAGAGGAAGTATTGATCCAGAAATTTTCTTACAAGTAATATGATTTATTTGTTTATTTTGAAGTTACAACATGTTATTAATAATCCACACTTTTCAGAAATATGGCTTGTGTGGAATGACATCTGATTATGTATGTTTCGATAATCGTCTGCCCGATAAAGAATTATTACCAACTGCTCATAGCTTCGAAAAATATCATGAGTTCATGACAAGTGAAATACCTGAATTAGATTGTTAAGCTTTTGCTGCACCGTTTTAAGGTAGTTACGGTCACAATATTCGTTTTGGCATAATTTAAGTCACTTTCATAGAATGTGTTTGTCCAAGTCAAATTTTTATTGTGACATGATATTTTAACTTTTGTACATTAGTGATTTATAGACTCATATTATAAGTTGATGTTCGTAAATTATTTTTGAAAAATGAAATTAATGATTCTTAGTATAAACAATTATAATATACCAGGAACAAAACATTCCATTATCAACATTATTTTAAGGTATTAAGACTCATAAATATAATGTTTCTTCCGAGTTTTATTCAGTTTGATTCTTGAGTATTTACACAAAAAAAGAAACAATATTTTTCAATTATATTTGAATCACCATTTTACATGTAAATGCACGTATCCATTTGGTTATACTAATGAACTTTAATGTACATATACTATTGGTGATATTTTGTTTGGTCTTGAGAAATGATATTATATAACCATTTTTTAAATCATAAAATTGATTTTATTAGATGATCTTTTTGTGAAATATTGATTCTTCAATTCTACTTTAGTAGTAATGGTTTGTTTTTACTTTAATTTCATGTTTGGTTGAAGTATTAATTTACCGCCTTGAAAAATATTTTTACTGAAATTGTGATTATAAGTAAGATGGTTATTGGAAATTTGAAAAAAATCTATTATATATCTACTTTTGAAATGAATTTTGAATTTGTTTAAATTTAATTATAACAATCTATTTTAAAAATAATTTTTTTAATTTTATTTAAAAAAAATTAGCTTATTAAAAAATGTCGATTAATACTTAATTCTGACGAGTAGAGCAAAGAGATTAATAATTAAATAACATCGTGGCGTGGAGCGTGCGAGCGTGCACAATAGAGCATATGGTATAGATGGAGCATTCTTGTCAGAGTTTACTATGGCCGGGCTCGACGGAAGTATAGAAAACTTTCCCAGAGAAACAAAAGTTTCCGATTTTGAGGAAAAGAAGTAAAAAAGAAAGAGACAGGAGAGAGAAAGGAGAGAAAGCCTAGAGTTAACGAAATTATTAAATTACTATTGATTTTATCGAAACAAAGGAAGTAATACGTGTTTGTTTTTTCTTCATCCTTGGACAGGAGAAGTGCTCGCGCGATTTTTTCAGTCTCACTTGAGACTCATTGCAAGGGTCCTTTGATTCGCCTGTACACTCTCGTCGTCGTTTTTTTCGCGCGTTTATAAACCTTGAGACTATACTTGACCGAGCAGCGCTCGGATTGTTCCTCGATAAAGCTATGTGCTTTTCAATTTTAAGCACTGCCTTATAATGAAATGGTTTCACTCGAATTGAGATGGGGGCTTGTATTACCTCCCGCGCTTTGCACGAGGAGAATATATCTCTGGAGACTTTCTTTCGACTGTACACATATGTAGAATAGAGAGTTGAGTTTCTTATCGGTTTAGGGAAAAAAGTACTGTACTATTCGACGTGCAGTTCGCTCGCGCGCGCGCGACTCGTACGGAACTTGCTCGTTTTTTCTCGATATTTTCTCACGTTTGGATTTCAGTAAAGAAGAGAGAGAGAGAGCTAGGTACATACTACATGGAGCAGAGCCCGCGTACCTTATAGTCGTCGCTGCAGTTGTCGACGTGTAAGCGCACGTCTGGAGGGAGATCAAATTTGCGAAATAGCTGTGCGCACACGAGGCTTGAATTTCTGACGAGATAATTCGCGAATTCAAGTAAGGGTAAAAATGCCGAATCGAGTGGAACGTGTGCGAGGCCAAAAAAAAAAAAAGAAAAGAAGAGAGAAAACCCCCCGCCGAGCGTGTTTCGAGACGAAGCTCCTCTCCTTCGAGCTGCGCGAAGAAAAGCTTCGTTAGCTTACATACGGCACCTATATACATAAGCGTAGGGACAGGCACGAGCGCGTGTGCAACAACCCGCTCGCTTTTCAAAGAAGCGCCTTGGAAAATTGACTATAGCTACTTCGATTCGGGCTGCCGTCACCGCGTTCATATATATTGAGCCGAAGCATGGCTGCGGCGGCCTATTTCAGGCTCGTACTCCTGCGGTCGTCGCGCTTTACACGACCTCGTTCGCTGCACTTTCCACCTCGAGCTCCCCCCCTTCCGATCAACGATGCCGCCTGTGCGTATCGTCCAGTTACAGGCTTATCGGCGACGAAAACTCCAGAGATCGCCGAGATGCAGTTCATAAATCGTTGAGAGCTTACGACGCTTCGATGTGTGCGATGAGGTTCGAACGATACAAATATAACGCAACTTCGAGTTCTAGTCAAGGAAGGGGATCAAAGTATCCGCTCAAGTCTGCAGATAAAATACGCGAAGGTTCGCACCTAGACAAGATTCTGCGCCATAAATATTTATGGGCGTACGCGTAGACACGTGTGTGTGTGTGTGTGTGTGTGTGTGTGTGTGTGTGTGTGTGTGTGTGTGTGTGTGTGTGTGTGTGTGTGAGCTTATATACGGGTGCAGTGCGCGTATACAGCTATCAAAAGGCGCACTAGCGCGCCTCTCCGGCATAATGTATACAAAAGATGAAGCGGAATAGCTTAAGTTGATGAAGGAACGAACAACTAATGTAAGAACTTTTTAAATGAGCCAAGAGGCTAATCAAAGCGTCGTCAGTCGGGACGTCACGAGTCTCTCTGCCTGCCGAGAGATATACACAGCCCAAAGGACTTTTGGCTCTTCGTCGCGGGGGCGTGTAAGCTAACTGGGAAAGAGCTGCTGCTGCTGCCGCCTACTGCCTCTAAATAAATTATTTCGACTCGAGAGCTGTCTTTTCGTCGAGACGCGTTAGAAGAGAAGCTAGAGAGAAACCGCCGCCCGAGCTTTTGTGCGCGCCTCACAGACTGCCGCTCGCGAAAATTCCGAATTCGCACTTTGCGAAGCCAATCGTTTGAGGCTCGCCTGCATACGCGTTAAAATCTGCGCATCGAATGGGTATGTAGGCCGACTTTATATCGGCGAAGAATCCGACGCTGTGCACGAAAATTTAAATTTAATAATTCGATGATCAAATGAGTTTTGCAATTAAATAAAACGCGTCTGCTGCTGCTGCTGCTTCTGCCCCCCTCCTCGTGTCGACAATGCGGAGTCACGACGCGTCGCTTGCAATTTTCTCCCCCTGCTTGTTGCTTATTCAAGACGAAATTTGCGATATCGCTCTGTATAGTTGATTGCTCTCCACGCGCGCGCTCGCGCTCAAAAACTCTGCTGCAGGTATTTACTGCTGATCTTACTCTTTCTCGACTCGTCTTTGAAAGCTTTTGAGCCTGTTCGTTGTGTTGGCTGGCACTCTAATCGCATCGCGCGCTACTCGCGTTAGTTCATTACCCGACGGGAAATTCTCATTCGCAGCAGCAGCGAGGAAAACGGTTATCGACGTTTAAAGTGTGACGCAATGTTTCATACACACATACACTTACGATCGTATACCAATCACATTCACACGTTAGCTGGAAGAGAGAATATGGAAAGTGCGAAAAAGAATTTATGAGTTCGGTGTAAAAGCCTAAGTGGGTGAGAAAGCAAACAGTACATGTATGTGTTATATATATATTTTCTCTTGGCTCTTGACTTGCGCCGCTGCAGAGCCGAATCGAATGAAATAAAAGCTTTTCTCGCGCTCGCTCGTTCTCACTCTCTTCCTACCGTTCTATATCTCTCTCTCTCTCTCTCTCTCTCTCCTTGTCGCAGCAGCTGCGGCAGCAATGAAAAATGTATTTAAAACAAATCCGCGACGAGCAGCTTCGGCTCTGAGTATTTTTTACACGGCCCCGTTCTCGCTTCTTTTTCGCCCGGTTTGCTGCTGCCTCTCTCGCGTTCGCGCGCGCCCGCCCTTGCAATGAAAAAATAGGAGAATCGCTCGAAGAGAAAGCTATAGTACCCTCGGTTCTACGCCAAGCTTTGCATAAAATAATTTTAAAATGCATCCGGGTATATATATATAGCGTACATTGACATGTACTTACCTAGCAGGAGCTGCTGCTTCTGTGTACGAATGCTCTGCACCATGAGCACAGTGGGCTGGGGGGAGACGGAGGCTAAGGGTGAGCCCCCTCTCGCCAAGTAGCGAGCTTCTTAATGCACATCGAGACGCTCGTGCCGTCAAGAACAAGAGGATTTTAACGACGTGTTTTGTACTATGCAACCGAGCCTTTACCTATGAATATTTCGCGCTACAGCGATCTTTGTGTTTTCTCTCTTTCTCTCTGTTGAGGACTCGCAGTTGTTGCCCCCCCCCCGCCGTCGCGAAAAGAGCTTAAAATGTAGCGGCGCTCCGAATAACAGGTAACGGGCACAAATATAAGAAAAGTCTATGAATATTGTCTTGGACAAAGCCGTTTGAACTCGCTACAAATAATGTTAAAGTATCCGCGCCCCAGACGATATTTGTTTTTTTCATCGTTACGCCGCCGGAGGGGCGCGCATCTTCGTTATGCAAACACGACTGAAGGCAACTTTTGTCTCGGTGCTTTGCTGCGAAGGTTTTTTAATTACGCCCTCCGAAATATGCAGCAAGTACTCCTTTCCTGCAGCGAGCTTCGGCTTCTTTTTTATACCTCCAAACCGATGATAGTGATTATTTTTTCCGCCATCGTGTAGTGTCGCAATTTATACTTAAAATTTATTTGTTTTGCTAACATATCAAAACTTTGTACAACAATTACAATGAAATATAAAGTCGAGCTTGTTACAGTCGATGGATTCGAAAGTTGGGAGGTGGAGGCGTCGGTGGTGGGAAAGCGCTACATTAACGCACAAACGCTGCAGCTCATGCTGACAATTACAATTCGAACCGGTTCCGAGAGAAATACTAGAGGTAGCATTTAAATGTATGGGTTGCCAATTATAATCCTAAGTAATTGAATACTTGGCCCTGCTTCCTGTAACAAATTTTTTTTATCCTTCGTAGGGGCTATATAAAGCTAAAGCGCTAAAAAAGGCCACTAATTTGTCTGTACTGTTTTTAAAAATAAATTAAAGCATGTAACC